AAGATAGGCTTGTAGTTTGGTTCACAACGAAGTTACAAGGAGATTGTAAAGGGCCTGAATAGCATGGAGAAAAGGAGGTGATATGGTCGCGCCTTTTTGCTGGACTTGACGAGGCCTCATCCATGTCCCTAAATAGGCTCATTTTCGTTCGTTTATATATAAATGTATAACCGTATCTGTAAACGAATTAATGATAATGTAAAAAGCCCTAATGAGCCATCAATAACTTTGCGGGAGCCAGAGACTTCTCTATAAACTTAATAATTATATAATCTCAGTTAAATTGACTTGAGATTCGCAACGTTAAAAATGTACATGAATTGGACTTTAAATTTGAATTTGTTAACTATAGCTGGCTGAATTCTATAGCTTCAATATTTTTGGCAGCCAACGACTCGTTCGTTGTGCCAAGGTGGCTTGTTAAATATTTTTAAAACCTTGAAATTCTGAAATATTTTGGCTGTGAAGAGAAACAATATAGATAATTCTAAAAAATGAGAAAACTTTATAATATAGGTATGATTGGGACAAAACCGGAATTAATGAATTCTCTCCATAGAAAAATTACAAAGCTACATTTGTCTCGTAACGCAGTACTTCTGTCTTAAAATTAGTGAATTCGAATGTAAATGAAGTCAGTTAATTCAGGGCGTACATTTCTATGGGATTAGGGAATGCAATAACGGGATACCAGGATCCCGAAATACCAGGATACCACGCTATTTTTTACGGGACTTACCTATTGCTACAGTGGCCGCAATGATGCAAGCTGAAAATATGGAGCCTGAACCGATGTCTCTTGTCGAAGAACTTGAACAAACTCTATCGAGTTTTAAAACTGCTTGTCGCCCTCATTCTGTAGTTCATTCTCTCAAGGTATTAATTTATTTGATTTTGGTGGATCTTCAATTCGCCTACAACGCTTTGTTTACAGTTGTACCCACAAGCGTGGAAGTAGAACGAGCGTTTTCTGCTGCTGGTTATCTGGCATGTAAAGTTAAAAGTCGTTTGGCAGATAAGACTATTAACATGCTATTACTTATTATCAAATATAAACTACGTATTGTCTCTTTGTGATAATTTTATTCTTTTATTACATCTTTTTATTAATCTCTTAATACATAATTTTGAATAATACTTTTTTTGTTTGTTTTTGTAGTTCTTGATGCATTTATGATACAGGTTTTCTCTCTTTTCTCAATGACTTTCAGAAAAGCGGGATTCCGCAAATACCAGGATCCCGCGGGACTGAGACCTCTCAGTCTACAAATACCTATATTACTGTTTTTACGGGATGCATTTATTATAGGGGATCAACTTTGTTGTTGAATAGCTGAACCTTTAACGTGTCAATCTTATTTATTTTGTAGCCAGTTTTATCTCGCTTAATTTAACCTTCATATTGATCCAGGGAACATCAATCAATGTATGATAGTAATTGATTGATGACATTTGCTCGTCTCTAATAATAGCATAAAGCTTTTAGGCGAACTAATTTGACCCGGATGTGTGAAGTGCTAAAAGTTTACTTTTGAAATTAATGTTATCGTAACGATACTTTCGAAGGATTAGATTTTTGAAAACAAATAAAACCTACTCAGTAATTATTCTCTATCGGTGATATTAATAAAGTAGGTTTAGCGTTGGATTTACGTTGAAACTGCACTCGGTATTAGTCAAAATTCATATTATTAAACAGAGACTTGGCAAAGGTTAACCTAGTACGAGGTTCTACGGGAGTATTATTTAATCCTAGAGAGTAGAATGTTTGCTTATTCTCTTTATAATATGAATTTGGACTAATACTAGAATTCCAATTTTTTGTGTAAATGTACTATTGTAACTTTGTTTGTTAATATCACTGTATATGCATACGGTTATTTAAACTTTTCTAAGTAGATAAATGTTCAACATTTCCTTAAATATTATATCGGATAGTAGGTATAATAACATAGCAATAGTTTAGATTTAGAATTATAGTACAATCTTTGATTATACACAAATATCCATTTTGTCGTAAGGGCTCCAATTCTCATTTCACCAGTAAAACAGATAAGTACCTTTCTTGTAACCCGCATTTTATAACGAAGAGTGAAGAGTTTTTAACCGCAGTGTAAAAATAATATGAGAAATGCCAGTTTTCATGGTCGCGCCATTAGGCGGGCGGGCGGTGCGGGTAGATTGCAGTAGGCCTGTCTATTTTCTCGTTTGTCAAACTGTCCCTTTACTGTGTGGCGCTAATATTGAAGGAGCTACAATACTTAATACATTAATAAATAAATCAAGATATGTACATTATTAATATTATGATGTTATAATGAGTCATAAAACTTGTTTTTATTTTATAACACTAGCTGTTATCCGCGGCTTCGTCTACGTTGTTTGAGAGTTGTGTACTACATATGACACATCGCAGGTTTAAGTAAAAGATTAAACAGTCAAAGTCGCTGTTTAAAACATACCAAAAGAAATCCGAGGCAAAGCTGATCGCAAAGATATTGGGTCACATGGCAACGAAACCTTTTTATGTACTTTTTCAAATAGAGTAGAATGCCTCACTTTCCATTGATGTACGTTCTCTCTATAAATCCATTAACAGATTCGCAAAATCGTGAGCTACGCGTATGCTTTTGCTTTAGGTAAAGGGTTATCTAAATAATAAAAGAAATATTTTCAAATTACAGGGATTTCACGGATTTACCTTTTTGTAAAATACGGATCTTTCACTAATGAAAGAAATACTAATGATAAGCATAGACTATTTCATTTCTTTACTTTTTAACTTTACTAACCGACTGTTAAATCAAAAAGGAGAAAGTTACATGTTCGACGGCATTTTATAAATCTAATGTTTCTCCTTTTAGAGCTTTTAAGATAATTATTTGTATTGTTTCTTTACTATTGTTTACTCTGTTAGGTAGCCAGCATATAATTTATAAGTATTTCAACTGTTTTGGTCAAAGATGTGCTATATAGGTGTGTGTAAGTGTATGACGAATATATATTTGTAACGAACCGAGCGTTTTTATTTATTACGAAATTACTATTTTTTAATCTAAATTAGTTCGATGGTCGGACTAATGGGAAATAAATTATAAACTAGTCCGACGATCGAACTATAGAACTAGAACAAAGGCAATTGTTGACTGATTTTCAAAATTCTTTTTTACTCGACAGCTTAATGTTTTCCTTTCATAAAATGACAAAATAAGCTTTTCATCAGTTATTACCAAAATATTTATATGATATGTGTATTTCAGCTAAAAAAACCTTTCGATTTTGAAGACGATTAAAAGACAAAAGATTACGTATTTTACGAGTACAATTTATTCAAAATCCGAAAGGAGGATTTTCTATGTTCAACGAGTATGTTACTTTACTCTTTGATGTATATTTTTATGAAAGTGGGTATATTATAAAGTAGGTTAATCGATTCCGAGTTGAATTGTGATCCCATTTCTATCTACTAGCTGTTTCCCCACGACATCGCCTACGTAAATTATAGCCTAGGAACCCCGAGTATTATGTAGATTCCACTAAATGAAAGATTTTTATAAATCGGTCCAATAGTTTCGGATCCTATCCAATGCAAACAAACAAGCAATCAAATCTTTCCTCTAAATAATATGAGTATTATAAAGAAAAACAATGTCGAACAAATAAAAAAAAAACTCCTTTTCTAAGACTTCCACTATGTTGAATATTTTTAGTGTTACCTATTATATAAAAAATATCGATACCACTAACAAGCATGAAATAAAATCTTAAAAAAAAACTGGGAACGATTTCAAACTTTAAAAAAGTGATAAATAATACATATTTTAAAAGCGACTTATTCAAGAAAATGCTATTGAAGTCGGTTGTCTATCATTTAAATAATAATGCTACAGAAGACCTCCGCCTGACTTCAATAGCATTTCATTAAAAAGGTCGCTTTTAAGATAAGTATCATGCGGTTTTATTTTTTGTAAAAGTTTTTTCTTTTTACATCGTATCATACCCATGATCGTAACAGATAAAACATGATTTTTGTATAGAATAGTTTATAATTACAACCTAATAGGTAAATATTCCACAGTCAAGCTAATATTTAAAAAAGGTAATCAAAAAGAAATTACTATTTGAATCAAAGAAAAGTAGTTCAACTGCTCATGCCTGTTTTTCTATTGTAAACGTTTACATAAAAAATATGTTGTCAATTTTTTTATTTTACTCTGGAAGTTATAAAGTTACAAAATTACGAGGTGAAGAAGTAAAAATCGGTGTGTGGAAATAAATAAAAAGGATGGGTTCGTTAAAAAGTACCTTTTGTTCTCAATGTCGTCTAAACGCATTCGAAGTTGCTCAAGGTAGTGTCGACAAAACACGGACTGTTGTGGCAGTAGACATTGCAGTTGACAAATCGAAACCTTAGCGAGTTCTAGCTTTTTGATAGTGACATCTGTTGTTGCAAAAATGAATATTAAATAATTTACAAACACAAATTGAACATAGTGTCAAAGGATTTACCTGATGCAACGAAACACAAATGTCTATCATTTGCAGATATTACTACAATTTTAATTTATTGCGCTACCAAAACTACATTTGAGGCAAATAATGTTCCGAGTGATAAGTATAATTAGTTGGCTTCCAGAGAATAATCTTACAATCAATTTAAACAAGACCAATTGAGTTACAAACCCATAATAGTAAACCGACTAATGTAAATATCCGATATTAGAAAAAAGGTAAAAAAGGACTTCTAGCGCACTAATATCAAATGTGTGCTTTTATTTAATGAAAGGTTAAATATGTTGCCTTATTAAAATTCAAAATGGTAAAATTAGAATAGCAGGCTGCGATTGATCTACAATAGTAGTCGTAGTAGGTCGTATTTATTGTTTCGTGCTTGATACCTCGTGAAATCGTGAAATCGTCATGCATGGCACGGTGTCATAGAAAAGCCTTTTATTTCCGTCGTATCGTACGAGATCGTAGAAATACAGATTCATACAGCAATGGTAACTGTATTCAATATACTTTACAGATTGCTGAGTCTAGATGTATCTTCTTTGGAAGATGTGTACTGGTTGGAAGACTCGACGGCGCGGCATGTGCTGGAATCGAAGGACTTCGGCACGTGGACTGCGGCGCGACAGAGTCTGCCCACGGGCAAGGAAGCGCTGCAAACACTCAAGGCGGACCTCTGGACTGCTGTGGTTAAAAATAGCAAACATCCAGACGCGTGGACGTGGGGTGAGTTAGCTTAGATGTAATGTACTATCTGTAACCTTTTTATGTCTATGATGGCGATAAAATCTTTAAACAATATAGAGGCTAAATGGCTCAGCTTATCAGTTTGGATCTTACTTAAAATATTGAGCCGTGTTGTTGATAAGCTTTCTATCACCTAAATTTTATTATACCATCATTTCTTTTAAGCTGGAATAAAATCCCTATTAATTATTTAATTAAGATTGACAATGGGAATATTTTGAGGGTTTGGACAAATATTTTAATATTTAAGTGTGATCAGTTGCTAAAACTTGGTTATGTAAAACTAACATGGAACTTAACTCTTCTGCTCTCGTAAATTAACAATTTAGAATTACTTTAAATATCATGATTATGTAACAGTGACGTTATTTTTTTATTCTGTTATGAATATTATCCTTAGCGTAAACAAAATCATGATTATAAAATAGAGACCAAAACTGACTTCCAATTTATTACTGTCGCTAAGAACATGTTCACTTTCTATACTGTCCAAGCACAGATCAAAGCGATTATTGGTGAAGTGACAGTCAGTTTGAACCTGTGAGACTGTAGGGTAGGCGAGTGAGTGTAATGCGTGCGTGTGTGTGTGCGTGCGCGCGGTGTGTCCGTGTGCAGGCGGCATGCTGGTGGTGTCTGTGTCTGTGTGCGGGCTGGTGACGCTGGCGGCCATGACGCAGCCCTCCCTCGCGCCAGAGGCCAAGCACTCGCTGCTGCAATATGTCACCGGGAAATATCTCTATCCGTCCAGTTGCTCGGTAAGATACATCTTTGTGCAGCTTTGAATTTTAACAAAATATAATAATAGTACGGTCCGCGCTAACGTGTTGTACGCTCTCCCAGTCCCGTGTCGGTTACATACCTTACCCATTTATATGATTATTATTGAAAGAGTTATTTGGCAGATTCTTGTAAACGCTTTAAACCGAACGACAAACAGCTACGACATATTTATGATTTGAAGCTTATCTAAAGAAATTGTACATATGTATTGCTTTACATGTAGATCTAGTACTATGATAAATTTTAATATAAACTTTATTGTTGCTAGTAATATGTAATATCTTTAAAATTTGAGTCGTTAAAGTGGACTAAACAAATGTTTATTAGGTAGGAATAGGTTGGTGTAGTAATTGGTTGGATTTGTGGGGCAGTTTTGGTGGAGGAGAAACTTTAGACAATCATGAGCAAGATAATTGGTTAAGGCATATGCATGCTAGAATTGAAACCGTTCAGCGACATCTGGGCTACATATAATGAACTAACATTAGCGCTGGTATGGGCATGTCGGGTAACCTACTAACATATCTCCAGGTGGATTGGGGCTGGAAGGACCCGCAGGTGGTGGGTGAGACGATGTGCTTCACAGTTTTCTGTTACCAGCGCAACGGACAACCTTACCCTATTTGCGACACTGACGAGCTTACTGTCGTCATTTCCCATGGCACTAGAAAGGTGGGTCATGAGAAATACAGTTGATCATGACACTCAATGTTGTATCATGATTGAAGAACTGACTTTCTATAGAAGGTGGATTAGTCAATTTATGATACTTGTATGCACGTCAGTTAATATTGTTGAAATACACACAATTCTAATTTATTTAATTTTTATTTATTGTTATTTATCAGTAGTTGGGGGCGACGAAGTCACGTTTAACGTATATTTTAATACGGATATGCTTCCCAGATTCGAAATTTAAAGTTGCTTAGAAATAAAAGCTTTTATCCACTAATTTTCCCCCTTAGGGGTTGAAATTCATAAAATCCCGTCTTAGTGAGCACCTACGTCCTAAGAAGAATCTGCATGCAAAATTTTAAACTCCTAGCACAGTAGTAACGAAGCTTCATACAAATTTCCTTCCCCTATTTTAGCCGCTTCGAAATGGAATTTTCAAAAACCATTTCTTAGTGCTCCTTTACTAATTCCCTAAGAAATCTTCATTCCAAATTTCAAATTTTACGCTCAGTAGTGTCAGCTGTACGTTGTCTGTTAGTCAGTCAGTCAGTCACTCAATAACGCAAGAATTATATATATGTAGATTTGATACTGAATGATAATATTGTGAATACATATTAGTTAGAATGTATTTATTTTTTATATCCTAATATACGATCTTTATGTCTATATACATTTTTCAATGAATCTATGGTAGGTATAAAAGAAAAATGTGTGCCGCAGATAACGCCCGTGGTGGAGCTGGGCTCGGGCGACCCCGCGCAGGCGCACACCGCGCGCGTGCAGTTCACCGTGCGCGTCGCCGGCCTCTACACCATCGCCGTCACCATCGGTCAGCGTACTATTCATTACAGCATATTCAATGAATCAAAGTAACAACACTGTGTTAAAATACTATTCTCTAGATCGGGTATATTATCAGTGATCACGTGGTAATATTTATTCTCTAAATTTATATATATTCATTAATTATATGACACGGGGCGGATACCGTGCGGTTGTCAATGTCGTGAGTTATATATAAAAACCAACGGCTCGCCCGCTGGTTTCAAGGTGGCGTCCCCGTCTCGGGTTCGATTCCCGGGCGTTGAAAATGATCTTTTCTAGATCGTCCAGGGCCTCGGTGTTGCGAAACCTTCGTCGTTTCAGATACTCCTTTTTACGGAGGCTCATCTTGGGATCTGCACGACGTTTGCGATGACGTCTAATACTTATTCATCTATTTAATTTACGATGGATTTAAAATCTCATTACGCACCAGGTTTCAGTGTCAAAAGTAGCAATATTGTGTCTGGTGTAGGCGGGGCGAGCGTGGTGGGCAGCCCGTTCCGGCGGCGGTTCGTGTCGGGCGCGGTGTGCGCGCGCGCGTCGCGTGTGGGGCGCGTGGGGCGCGCGCATGCGCTCGTGTGCGCCGCGCGCGCGCCCCGCCGCGTGCACGTGCACCCGCGCGACGCCTACGACAACCCCGCGCCGCCGCCGCACCCCCACCACGTCAGTACCACCCGCACACACCCACACACCCCCACACACCCCCACATACATGTTCACAAATACACACAGAGCACGTTTCCCGATTGTGAAGATGACCGCACGCTTGAGAAAATGTATAGTATATTTTGCTTTAGTAACAGTAAGGTGTATATTAACACCGCGTCGAGTGGCCATCTCCTGTCGGGGATAGCTCGATGGCGTGTTCTAATCGATTGCCATTCAAAATTTTGCCATCTTTACTGGTCCATTGGCGAGTTCCATCAGGTGTCTCTCAGTGTAACGTATGTTCATAGGCGTTCTAACCACCTTTTTTCCACTTTGACGATTATTTATTTATTTATTTATTAATTCAAACACACTTGCTGGCTTCCGGTACGTCCCGGAACGCCGGCAAGGTAGCAAAGTGCATTTTTATATGATGTCAGTAATAATTTAATTTAGTAGTCAAAACAAAAAACGTATGGCTTTTGTTTTCTCTACATTCGCAGCTAGGTTATGTTGTAGGCAATTTATAATAAGTTCTACCGTTTTGTTTATTTCTTGGTTTAATTTATAACATTTGCTCCATTCGACAACAGCGTTGATATCATTTTGAAGAATAATGGTTTCATCTTCTTTTTTTGTATAGATACAGTTTTAAATCAACAATAGAAATTGGCTGTGTACACATACTGTTTGATTGTCTTGTTTTAGTTACTTGTTCTTGTTCTCTACTATTTATTATTTTATCAACTATCTTTGTCAGTTATTTATGGAAATCAGTTTTGTAAAATTTTGTGTGTGCATGATGCAAATAAAGAAATGTGAGTGAAATGGCTGCACGTATGGTGTAGGGGTTCACGGCGGAGCTGCGGGAGGTGGGCGGGACCGCAGCGGCGCCGCTGCTGCCGGAGGCGGCGGAGTTCTCGTACGACGCCGTGAACGAGCGCGTGACGCTGTCGCTGTGCATCCCCGAGGCCGGCATATACCGCGCGCGCGTGCTCTACCAGGGCGCCACGCTACTCAACGGCGAGTTCGACTGCATCGTACTCACAGGTATCTACTCTTCTCTCTCTTCGAAGATATTTCGTTTTCTTACAAAGTCTATATTGGTTTCTCTACTGAGCCTTCCTTATGGATGGCTTCGAATCAAATTTAATACGTTGAATGTGCAGAAAGGGCGAGTCTCCCGAGAAGGCCTAGAGATAGTTTAGTTTTATAGGTTCTCACATGTGATAAATATAAGCTACATAGTATGTGGCCATTAAACATATTTTCTTTTTCTTTTATTCAAAGTGTGCAGTATATGTGTATCTGTATGAGAGTGCGTGTGCGTGTGTCCAGCGGGCGACACTGGCTTGGTGCAGCGCGGCATCTCGGCGCGGCGGCCGTCCGCGTGCTACGAGGCGCGCCTGCTGGCTCCGCGCCCGCGCCGCGTGCTGTGCTGCCTCAGCCCGCGCCAGTTCATCGTCAAGGACTACATCCTCAAGTTCATACCCAAGCGGATCACCACCTTCCGGCTCTGCCCCTCCACTAAGGTATTCACGCTGGACTCGAGCTACGATGTTTATAATGAATTAGTGATTACCGGAGGAACGGCTCGTCCCTGGGTGGTGGGTAAACGGGCGGAGATAAATTTAATAGTATTCGCGGCGTTGCCGACATCTAGAGCCGCTCCCCGTCCCCTTCACACGGGGACAGACTCCATCCTACCGCCGTGCGCCGTGAAACGCTAGAAGGCAGCGCCCGGCGCTCTGCGACACTATGTATGTTTACGCCGGTGGGCTGACGCGTCCGATCGTTCCCGCAGCTGACGCTGTCCCCCCGCGAGGGCGCGGGCCCGGGGGGCGAGTTCACGGTGGAGGACGGCGTGCAGCCCCCCCTCACGCTGTGGGCGCCGCAGCGGGACCTGCTCGCGGCCACCTTCACGCAGCTGCTGCAGCACAACGCGGGCGGCGAGGACTCCTTCAAGGTGCGCTGCCCCCCTGTGCCCCCTGGTATTTGCCTACCGAAGCGCCGTAGCTAACGAAGTCCCGTGCGTTAGACCAAGCAGGAGTGCTTCTACAGCGCGCTGCGCAAGCTGCACGCGCGGCACGCGCACGACAAGTTGCCGCTGCGCGTGCGGCGCGCCGACCTGGTGCGCTCCGCGTTGCGCGCCACCAGGCACTTCACCATCAGCGACTGGTGCAAGAGCTTCGACGTCACCTTCCACGGCGAGCAAGGTGGGAACCGGGCTTCTTCTTTACCTATACCACTGAAAATAGCTAACGATCAAACTTTTTTCCACCATTTTAATGACGTAGTTGCGTTCAAAAATCAGTATCGTTTACAAATAAATACCGGTATATAAAATAAGTACACTTATTGAGTTAGGTTGTGTTGAGATCGCACACAGTTTTTGTTGTTTTCGACTGTTATTGTTTTATTGTTACTTGTTATAGTCGACTAAAATAGCTACTTCTATTATGATTTTCACAATAAGTAAATATATATTTAATATCTATCATTCCATTATTACTTTGGGTTATATTTAAAAAAAAATCGTTGTCCTTTGAAATCTCGTTATTACAAAGTTTTTTTTATATTTATTTTTAAGTTCCGTATACCTCAATATTTACATTAACAATGATTCTTTACCATTAATTCTTGCAATAAATTAACAAAAGATGTTTAATTATTTTAACGATATTTAGGTGATTATTCATAAATATTTTAATATGACTTTCTACTTTCATATGAAGTCACGCGGGTGTCTTTAAGACAAGGTTTCAGCGCATTAGCAATTTACGAGACTTACAGTCAGTTTCACAAACGTCCATTAAAATTATCATTGGTTTAAAACGACATTACCCATACAAATTAGCCATTCATTAAAGCTTAAAGTCGTTATTAAACCTTAATGAATATTTGTGCAACTGACCGATATAAACGTTCCCGAATTCAAATATGTTTAATGACAGTCGGTGATGTGTCATCACGATGGAGTTTTATTTCATTAATTCGATATTATATTCATTAATAATGTGGGGCGTTCATGTAATTCATACACACGATCGCTGAATATGGATGGCCAACGTCTTCCGTGGTGACCTGGAATCGGTAGGTAATATTATAACATTGAAAATATTTATGGACTTAATGGTGTGCTGATCGACGCGGGGTTCGGGCTGTTCGTGCTGCTGAAGTATAGAGTGATCGTTGCTTGTGCGTGTGCAGGCGTGGACTGGGGCGGAGTGAGGCGGGAGTGGTTCTCGCTGGTGTGCGGGCAGCTGTCCGACGCGGGGTTCGGGCTGTTCGTGCTGCTGAAGTATAGAGTGATCGTTGCTTGTGCGTGTGCAGGCGTGGACTGGGGCGGAGTGAGGCGGGAGTGGTTCTCGCTGGTGTGCGGGCAGCTGTTCGACGCGGGGTTCGGGCTGTTCGTGCTGCTGAAGTATAGAGTGATCGTTGCTTGTGCGTGTGCAGGCGTGGACTGGGGCGGAGTGAGGCGGGAGTGGTTCTCGCTGGTGTGCGGGCAGCTGTTCGACGCGGGGTTCGGGCTGTTCGTGCTGCTGAAGTATAGAGTGATCGTTGCTTGTGCGTGTGCAGGCGTGGACTGGGGCGGAGTGAGGCGGGAGTGGTTCTCGCTGGTGTGCGGGCAGCTGTTCGACGCGGGGTTCGGGCTGTTCGTGCTGCTGAAGTATAGAGTGATCGTTGCTTGTGCGTGTGCAGGCGTGGACTGGGGCGGAGTGAGGCGGGAGTGGTTCTCGCTGGTGTGCGGGCAGCTGTTCGACGCGGGGTTCGGGCTGTTCGTGCTGCTGAAGTATAGAGTGATCGTTGCTTGTGCGTGTGCAGGCGTGGACTGGGGCGGAGTGAGGCGGGAGTGGTTCTCGCTGGTGTGCGGGCAGCTGTTCGACGCGGGGTTCGGGCTGTTCGTGCTGCTGAAGTATAGAGTGATCGTTGCTTGTGCGTGTGCAGGCGTGGACTGGGGCGGAGTGAGGCGGGAGTGGTTCTCGCTGGTGTGCGGGCAGCTGTTCGACGCGGGGTTCGGGCTGTTCGTGCTGCTGAAGTATAGAGTGATCGTTGCTTGTGCGTGTGCAGGCGTGGACTGGGGCGGAGTGAGGCGGGAGTGGTTCTCGCTGGTGTGCGGGCAGCTGTTCGACGCGGGGTTCGGGCTGTTCGTGCTGCTGAAGTATAGAGTGATCGTTGCTTGTGCGTGTGCAGGCGTGGACTGGGGCGGAGTGAGGCGGGAGTGGTTCTCGCTGGTGTGCGGGCAGCTGTTCGACGCGGGGTTCGGGCTGTTCGCGCCGCTGCACGACGCGCCCGCCGCGCTCGTGCACCCCAACCCCGCGCGCCCGCCGCATCTCAAGGTGGGACGAGTGTAACTATGATGGCTAGCTACTTGCATACTCAGTCATGCATGTCCAACAATGTCGGTATTGTAAGCACTTGTGTAAAATTGTGATTTTTTCGAGGTTTGTTGCCGTTTGAATTTCTGTACGCACTGTGGAAGTTGTGGTGGACTTCGATAACGCCTGATTCAGTTTAATATTAGTTCCATAGTTCCCCCTATCTCACACCTTGGACACTCAAATAAAACACTAGTTTGCTGGTATTTATCTAACATATCACACATATAAGGTCGCTAGCTCCTCCCTAAGAAACCTACTAATATTTTCTTTCGGTCACAACTGATATACTAACTCGCTAATTCGGCGCCAACTTTGGTCTTTTTACTTCTATTTCGCTACACAACCATTCCTATACTGACAATAATAATAATAACAGGTATGTATTCGAACGCAATAATATCACGTCTCATTTCGACCGACAGAAAGTTCACATCGCTTAAGAATTTTGTTTAAAATATCTTGACATGATGATGATGGAGTATTTGAATATCGAGGAAATGATAAATATAGAGCTGCCTTTTGTAATTTTCGCAGCTAAAATATTACGAGCTGGCGGGCAAGTTGGTGGGCAAGTGCCTGTACGAGTCGGCGCTGGGCGGCCCGTACCGGCAGCTGGTGCGCGCGCGCCTCACGCGCTCCTTCCTCGCGCAGATCATCGGCCTGCGCGTGCACTACAAGGTACACACACTCACTCACTCACTACAAGACGCACGCACACTCACTCACTACACGGTACACACTCACTCACTCCAAGGCATACACACATGCACACGCAATTTTTTACAAGAAACTATATACTACAAGGAGCCTATTCACAATATACACTCTCACTCACATATTATCTACAAAAAGTTAAACTCACTACAAGGTAGATCTGCTTTCTAAGATATTTATGTAAAGATTAAAATTTATATACTCATGGTAGTTAAAGTATATGTTTACAATAAAAGGTAAATTCGCTCCAACATAATGTATTACTATAAGGTAATACTGGCATCACAGGTTATACTTATACTAAAGATATTTCTCATTAAATTGAACTCACTAAAATAAATATATGTTGTGTGTTGAATGTATCTTTGATTATGTCTGTCAAGACTGATTTTTTCATTGTGTATCTTTCGTGTTAGTATTTCGAGCAAGACGATCCCGAGTTGTACCTCACAAAAATCAAGTATGTGCTAGAGACAGACCTGGACGCAAACGACGCGGGCCCGGAGATATTCTTCTGCGACGACGTGTACGAGAACGGACGACTCGTCTGCACACACGATCTTATACCTAACGGCTCCAATATAAGGGTGAGTTCGTCACAGCAGGCCCCTATCGATTTCATGTCTTGTGTATCATTTCTAAGGTTTCGTACAAAAAAAAAAAGAAAAACTACTCCTAATTAGATCACTCGGTCGTCCGTCACAGCTAATTATCTTGAAAATACTGGATCTATGGAATTGAAATTTGCTACACGTATGTAAATCGGTGACCCAAAACACGTTTAATATGAATTTGAATACGGAAGCCTCTTTTGGAAGCATTATATAGAAAATTGAAGAAAATTATGCAACCTATATAAGTATAATGTTACATAATAAAGTACTGAGAGGAACTAAAATATGTTTTTGAAGGAAAAATAATTTCATCTCAATCACCATCTAGTCACATATAGCTGAAACATCAGCGTGGTGCACACTGACGACGAGTTGGAGCGTAGTTGGCTGAATGGCAGCACTGTCGTTCCGGGATAATTCACTAGTCTGTAGATATACGTCATTGCTATTCGCTGGAAGCGAAGTACTGGAGGGAATAACGCGATCTATCGCAGTGCTCATGGTGGCCAAAAGTAGAAATATGTAATTGTTTTTCCTTCCATTGAATTAATGTTAAAACTGTAGTTTGATTATGTATTATAAATACAAAAAAAAACTTAAATAAATGTTTTTTTTTAATTATTTTATTAAAATTGGCTTATCCAATATTTACTTTCGTTCCACGCATGCCGAGTAATGAACGTTATTTCATTTAATTGAAAATGTACCCTAACTGTAAATGGCTTATTAGTGGGGTGAAGAAAGAGAATCAGCTAAAGAAAAAAAAAACCGCTGATTTATGGGGTAATTCCACTGAAGTTTCTAAATCGGTAATTGAGACAATGAAATGAAATTGAAATATCTTTATTCAAGTAGGCTATTACAAGAACTTTAGAATCGTCCAAAAAAAATTTTTTCCCCTACCACTTGTTCAGGACGTCTTTTAGCTGAAAAGAAGAACAAGCGAAAGAAACTTACCAGCTCTTTATCATAAGTAATGACATTTACAAAATCATGTCATTACCAAAACAATATGTATTATCACAATAATACATACAACTTTCAAAGTCTATAGGACAAAGGTTGAACATATATTAGTCTTTATAGAACAAAGCGAAGGCTAATAATTCCATGCATTGCGATCCTTAAAATAATCATCAACTTTATAGCCTTTCCTCATAAGTATGTTCTTTACATGAATTTTAAATTTATTTATGGGTAGGTCAACTACATTTTGTGGAACTTTATTGAACATAGCAATGCATTTACTCAGAAATGATCCTCTGGTTTTCTAAAGTCTGAAGCTTGGAACGGCAAGTTTATTTTTATTTCTTGTGTAAAGATTATGAACACTACTTTTTTTTGTGAAGGAATCGTAATGTTTTCTTGCGTACATAATATTTCATAGATGTATTGAGAGGCAACAGTCAAAATATTTATTTCTTTAAATATTTCTTTGAGAGATTCTCTAAGGAATATTTTTTTTCCAGTGCAAAAATTTTTTTTGGTGGTTCAGTATCAGTAATAGAACACTTTTCCATAATTAGTTAAAAAATTTTTTTTAAATATTTTTATCCCTATCGAAACGGTAGAATATGGACACATTTTTTAAAATAAAACTTCAATGAAAACGTCTTTTCTTGCGTATGCCACCGTGCAACCCCGCCGCGCCCGGTAGCCCCCCGCCACAGCTCCCACCGCCCCGCCGGGACCGAGCGACGCGCGCGACAGTGAGACTCATACGCACGCGCCGATGTGACGTGTCCTCGCGTTCCCGCGCACGCGACGCGCCCGCCGTCGTGAGTTTTACGAGATGTACGAGTTTATCTTTTGAGTGGTGAGAACCTACATAAGCGCAATTCGGAGAAAGTATGCGACGAAGAGCATACCTCGTATGCGGGCCTTTGGGATCCATAACCCCGCGGTCCCTAATGCTTCGAACCATTTTAACAGACGAAGTCCCAGAGTCAGTACCCACGATGCGGCATATCTCTTTGGTGTGAGCCAGCCTGCGGTATTGAAGCTGCTAAAAACAGCCGGACTCCATCCGTACCACTTTCAGCCGGTTCAGCAGTTCCATGACTAGACCCAATACCACGTCGAGCCTTATGTGAGTGGCTTCTACATCACCGCGATGTAAACATCTTGTAGACGGATGAGGCATTGTTCACAAGTGAGGGACTGTTTCTTATGGGAAGAAGTCAAACGCCGAGATGTAGAGGAGGCACAAAGCAGCTCTCTTTTGTAGAATAAAAATATCTTGAATGCTAGCCGCAGAACCCCACAACAATAGACCATACGTCATTACACTATGAAAATAACTAAAATATACCAATCTTGCCGTTTCAACAATTGTCAAGAGTCTAATTTTCTTAACAGCAAATGCTGCAGAACTCCGTCTACTTGACAAATTATCAATATGAGGATCCCATTGCAGTCGGGAATCTGTTGTAATACCAAGGAACTTTGTCGATTCCACCAACTCAACTTTTTCACTATTTACATTTATAAGTGTATTAACATGCCTCACATTAGGTAATGCAAACTTAATGCATATTGTTTTATTCGAATTAAGCTTTAACTTATTACTATCAAACCACTGTAGAACATTGTCGAGAGCATCATTTACATCCTCAAAACAATCATTACCCCTCTTAACTTTAAACACTAAAGAGGTGTCATCAATAACACTGATGCTATCGGCATCGTCAATAACACTGTCTCGCACAAATTCTTTGTCAGTGAGGAATATCATTAATGTAAATTAGAAAAAGCAATGGTCCTAATATCGATCCCTGAGGGACGCCCATAGTAATGGGTGCCCCTGCAGATTTCGCTTCATTAATTACTACTTTTTGAATTCTAGCAGAAAGATATGATTTTATAAGATTAAGTGAAGTTTTCGTCACACCATAATGCTCTAATTTCCCCAACAGTGTTTCATGACTAATGCAGTCGAATGCTTTTGACAGATCGCAAAAAATGCCGATTGCATCTTGTTTATTCTCCCAAGCATCATAGATATGTCTCAGAAATGCAATTCCAGCGTCGGTGGTACATTTACCTCTGCTAAAACCAAACTGATTTTTATGAAGTAATTTATTTAACGAAAAGTGTGCAAGCAGTTGATTATAAATAATTTTCTCAAATACTTTACTTAGCGCTGGTAGTATAGATATTGGTCTGAAATTACTGGGATCAGACTTGTCGCCTGCCTTGAAAAGTGGGATTATTTTACCATATTTCATTAAATCAGGAAAAGTTCCTTCATCAATGCACTTATTAAAAATAAAAGATCCAATCCAATAGCTCCAATCCTAGCTTATATCTTTCATGAATGTACTGATTGTGGTATTTTTCTTGAGCTCATGAAATATAGAAAAAAATATTCCTTTACATAAATCGGGTAGCACATCTGACGCTACTAACTTTAGACCATTATCCGTGCTATCTACGTTTAGTAAGATTTTTGAAAAAAATATGCTGGATCAAATACAAACATATTTTTACAAGAATAACCTTAAGAATCGACAACAATTTGGTTTTACAAGGGGCCGCTCAACAACCGAAGCCGGTGTCGAGTTAATACAAGAAATTTTTAATGCCCGGGAGGATTCACATGATGCGTTAGGCGTTTTCTGTGACCTATCTAAGGCATTGGATTGTGTTTTTCATGAAACATTCATTAGGAAACTTCATTATTATGGATTTAGAGATAACTCATTTTTATTTATTGTCTTATACTTGACTAACAGAGTACAGAGGGGTTGATATCAATGGCAAAAGATGGATCGAAAGTTTAGATGGATGATCCACAGGGCTCAATACTTGGTCCTTTCTTGTTTTTAATTTACATAAAAGACTTGCTTTATTTCATAAGGGATGATCACGAAACAGTTTTGTTTGCGGATGACACTTCACTTTTGTTTAAAATTAAAAGAGGGCTACCTCTAAATTACGATGTGAACAATTCTATCGCTAGAGTAGTACATTGGTTTAACGTAAATAATCTTATCCTTAATGAATGAAAAACAAAATGCATAAAATTTGTACTACCTAATGTTAAAAAAGTAGATATAAATGTTAATATAAAAGAATCTGGGCCTTGAGGGTACCACAGTATTTTTAGGAATAACATTAGATTCTTAACTACAGTGGGGCCCACATATTGATAAATTGTCGCGTAGACTTCGCTCTGCAGCATATGCCGTAATGAAGATACGTAGGGTTACTGACATAGATACTGCCAGATTAGTATACTTCAGTTAGTTTCATAGTGTAATGTCGTATGGAATCCTATTGTGGGGAAATGCTGCCGACATATACAAACGACTTTTGTGCTTCAGAAAAGATCAATTAGATCAATTTATAATCTTAGGATTAGGGACTCTTTAAGGGATAAATTTAAGAAAATAAACATAATGATTGTTGCCTTTCAATTTAACGTACGTTCGTAAAAATATTTGTTTGTTTTCTATAAAAAGTGATGTAAACAATTTTTATACAAGAAATAAAAATAAATTAACGGTGCCTGTCACTAGACTGCAAAAAATTAATAACTCATTCAAAGGTCTTTATGTGCGCTTCTACAATAAGGTCTCAAGGAACATCGCCTTTTTTTTTTCTCGAGAGCTGACAAGACAAGATTAAGAAAAAGAAGTTAAAATGTCCGATGTAAAGAGATCCTAATGTCGGTGGTTGGCGCAGGTGCGCAACGCGTCGAAGCTGCAGTACCTGGACCTGGTGTCGTCGTGGCGGCTGGCGGGCCGCACGCGCGCCGAGACGGCCGCCTTCCTGCGCGGCCTGGCGCTGCTGGTGCCCGACACGCTGCTGGCCGCCTTCGACGAGACCGAGCTCGAGCTGCTCGTCTGCGGCTCCGGAGACCTCAGCCTGGCCGACTGGCGCGCGCACGCCGTGCAGGGTACCTACACTTCGCACGCTACCTCACTCATCATATCCGTTCCACTTTATCACAGAGTTTCTTGGATATTATATTTGCCTACAACTTTCTTGAATATTGTATTTGATTATTATTTGTTGCCTTTTAGATAAGTATTTTTTTATCGATTCTATTTTATTTTCGTGCCAATGGAGTTCCGTCCTGTACCTTCTCGCTCGAGTACGAAAAGAGTGACGAAATAAACGGTTGAACGATGTGATGTGTTGTATGTCGAGGCGGGTCCGGTCGCGACTGGGAGCGGCTGATGGGCTGGTTCTGGGCGGCGGTGGGCAGCTTCACGGCCGCGGAGCGCGCGCGCCTGCTGCAGTTCAGCACCGGCTGCAGCCAGCTGCCGCCCGGCGGCTTCCAGGTACCGCACTGCACCACACTGCACCACACTGCACTACACTATACCATACCATGTTGCGGCACGAGACATTCATGCGGAGTTGCTCCCAGGAGTTAACGCCGCGGTACCAGATAACGCCGGCGGCGGCGTTCGGCGCGCTGCCCACCGCGCACACGTGCTTCAACCAGCTGTGCCTGCCGGACTACGACGACTACGAGCACCTCGTGCGGGCCCTCCTGTGGGCCATCAACGAGGGCGGCGAGGGGTTCGGTATGATATAAACACCACACCCGTACTTTTTACACAATTATCTTCTGTGAGATTTTGGCTTAAATTCTATACAAATTAAAATCAAACACTGGTCGTTTTGTCTTTATATGTGGAGAAAAAATATAAATTTCTCCAATTACTCATGTACACTAAAACTCGAAATAGATGAATCCGTTTTTTGCCAGTGAATGCTATTATGTGTAGACTTCGTTGAGTATTATATAATTTTAAGATGACATTGTGTGTTGAAATATATGAGGCCGAGAACACGAGGCTAGATCACGAAGTTGTTCGCGGTCTTTCCTCTATCATTTCACTAGTTTATAAGATAAGCTTATTTTCTTGTGTCGGCTGTTGTACTTAAATTACGTCGACTAGTCGTTGACATACCTGTATGTAATTACAATTAAGCACTTTTTCAATTGAGACTTTTATAGAGCAGACGATATTCTACAAATTGTATTTTTGCAAACGGCATTCGTTTGACAGATACAAGATATTTAAGAATATTACAATTATTTAACTTTCATCACTGAACCAGAGGCGTAGTCTTAAACGGAGTTTGTATCAGAATTAATTCTCTTTAATCAATGTGTTACTTAAAGTGAAATTTGAGTTAATTAATTTTCACCTACATCATAAGTCTACGGAGTCCCATTATGCCGATACGGTTGATACGGTGGTAGCTACGCCTCTGCTTCTAATGACATTCATTACTCACATGATAGCACGTGATGGGACACTGAGAACTTCAAAATCAATGGTCTAACCTTACCAAACGTTGTATAAGTACTGTGTTCTGTACTACAAAACCGAAAGTGTATTAAGAAAAAAATTGTCAGATCTCAGTGTTTTTCCTCAGTGCCCTCAGTTGCGTGAACTCTAACTCATATGACTGTATAATACAGAGTGATGTCATAATTGCGATTAAAGTATGCAGTATTAGTTTAATGTCGATAAAATAAGACGTCGGTGGGACTTTATTAGTGTAAGTAGTTAAAACAATCCTGCCAAAGAAACACCTGATGTGGAATTGATAACGTTTGACAATAAATGTATTTCCAAACAATTTATTGTCTGTTACGGTGCCTTTAAACTGGCGCAGCGAGGGTACGTGAACACGATATCCGATTGAATTGAAACTGAGAGCGTGTATACAAACAGTTGTTAAGCGCAAATTATCTTATGTAAATGTTGTAAATCGCGAGCTTTCATCCTGACAAATCGCGATCCCATATTACACTAATAAATAGAAATACTGCATTCGCACAGACTAATGTAGTGAGGAAAGTTTCTATTATAAGAAATAACTTATATTTAGTTTTGCTACAATATAGTTGAACAGTGGTAGTCACCCTGTATAAGTAGAAACCTTTGCAGTGTGTATGTGTGCACTGAGAAAAAGTAAATAAAAATCTGCTGCTCCGGGCCTTAGCTGTTTTTGCCCATGAGTAAACGCTTCTGTACTTTAATATTTTAGAGCAATATTACAGTGCTCTAATCCTGGATGGATATACTTCAGACGTGTATCCAGACCCTTCATATCGAAGATGCTCCAGGCTGGATTTGAAATTTTTCTATACAAATTTCCATCGTTTATTACATGCCGTGTTCAGTCAAGCGGCTTTATTAATGGTGATCGCACAATGTCGAATACTGTTCACTATATTTAACTTTTAAAATATGTCATGGGCCTAACCAATAAGCGTATATTTGTACAGTGATTCGTCTTTTTCACTTTAACTGGTAGTTACATTAGAATGACGTGAACAGAGCTATATATAACTAAACACTATTATAAGTTTCTTGTTAGTAAGGGTATGGAATAGCAATAAAATGAAAAGCAACAGCTTGACGAGAGGTGTGTGACATTATAAGTATTATAAAAAATATAAAGTACTTTATTGAAAAACTATAAGATGATGTAAAATTATAATTATAAAATACAGAGATTTTCGTCATAAAGATGTTGGACATCTAAAAGAATAATTGAAGACTAGAATTTATTCATGTGAGCCGTGCGTTTGATTTTAGCATGGATTAAATTGATAATTGCGACCAAACTGCTAGCTATGCTAGCGACGGGAATGTAATATAATTTCAATAGATTTGTATTTCAATCATCGTGATTTGTGTATATTTTAAGTCTGTTTTGAATTTGTGAATGTGTATAACTGTGGCTATAAAAATCACTTATTGAATCGTTAAACTGTGCGGGCTAATATTGTATAAACTAAGATATCTCGGAACCAATAAGGTTAATGTGATTAAACTAAACGAAAGTATTAATTTAAGTAAAGATTGTTATAAAATGATAATTGATATTTATAATGTAAATACTCATATATATTTGGGGTATTTTTTTCTGAACGTAAATGACCCCTTAGTCCAATTTGACAAAAATGTCACAAAACAATTCTTTATCATTCTAGTCAATGAGTATTTTGCAAGAAACCAGTTTCGTATTTTATTGTTATTTATTGTCTATAGCTCATATTAGGAAACTTATCGTACCTTAATAATGTGTCTCATTTATTAATAGAAAACTGTTCCAAAGTAGAAATAAATATTCTAGTAGCATCGTCGACTAGAGTTTAAGTAAGACTGAAATAAATTATACGACAAACCGCCTCGTTTCATTTATATAATGATTCTGATTCTTCCGATATATAATAAAATTAACCAGTAATTCTTATACATTTATTCTAAACAACAGAACAACTTAGAATATCTAAACGCAAACTTAACAATATACCTACAAAACGCTTGTATATAATCTATAACATAATATAAATATTAGAGAAAATACTTACCGACTCCTTAAAAAAAGGTTAACAGCGGTTCAACAACAGTTAACTTTTAGCTAAAACAGTATTTTCAAATCTACATTGACATTTGATAATTCACAATTTATTTTCGTTTCATATGTAAAGTGTAAATGTTTTTAGTATGATATAGTATCACAAAGGTGCAGTGGTGTAGCATAGCCCCGACATGCCGTGAGTGAGATGAGTGAGTGGGCAGTGAGTGCGTGGGCAATGAGTAGTGGGCAGCGATCAGTGGGCAGGTGTGTGTCAGCAGCCGTGCCTGGCGGGCAGCAGCAGGCAGCGCGCGGCGTGCGGCAGCGACAGCGGCTGGCGCAGCAACCAGCGCGCCGCGCCCAACATCCTGTACGCGACAAATATTCATTTAATTTTATATTAGAAAACAAAACTATGTCTGCTTTGAAGGCAGGTGATACAACGGATGATGACCCAAAGTTAATACTTTGGGTCATCATCATACATAACCATGAACGTTGAATGTAAACGATACGTATCGCAATCCATAGAACACTGCATCGTTTTCGTGTTGTACTGTGTTATATTGTACGCTCCCAGATAGCATGCTAAATTGAAGCACGTTTGATTTTTCTTTGATTCTAAATTGCTGCGTCAAATATACCAGGCAAGTTTGTGACAATGTCGCTGCAATATTGTTATGTTAAATATGAAGTTTCAAGTTTGCGACAATATTGTTTGAATATTGTTATGACAAAGATACTTATATGTAACACATCCATCATCTTCAAAGGTGCCCAAATAGTTCTAAGTCTGCAAACTAGATGGCGCTGTTCATTTAATGCATCGCGGTATAGTTAACATTGTTAGATTGTATAAGTAATATTCCGTTTAATGTGATCTTAATATGGGATTCGAAACCAACCGTTCCAGTTAATTTAATTTGGCTCTTAGGCAGGCTCTGTGCTGTGGTCTGAGTTTAAAGTCGCAATCGCTTTTGGACCAAGTTTTGAATAAACAAAAGATTAATAAAAATTTAGTAAACTTAAAGTAATATTTGCCTCGAAACCTGTATTCCAGGTACTCGAGTACTCGGGGTACCTGCTAGGTATACTTGCAATCCCTTTGATACGTCAAAGGTAGTGCAAGTTTGTCACAATGAAACTAGAAAGTTTGATTTAAACTTGCTGCAAGTTGCTGCAGTTGTCATGGCAAACTTGAAGCAAGTCTTCTTTTTGACGTATCAAACTTATTGCAAGTCAGAAACAAGTTTAAATTGCTATCTGGGCTGTAGGTTGATGACCCCAATTCGTAGAATAACAGGAAGTGTTCGGGGGAACGATACAGTGTTTCGTTGGTAACTATACGTATAGTTTACATACATTCAACCCTCATATATTTGAGTCATTGTCCGTTTTTTCGCTAGGAACAGATTATAATATCTTCTACACACTTATACACTATTTTTTATAATTTTATGAACTTGTAGAAAAATTAAATTATGCACTTTGTTTATAAATACGTACACCTCTGATTTTATTATAATGAAAAATTCTTAACAAATTTACTTCGTCGCTGGTACTCTGAGATGGGATTATTAATAAATAAAATAAATAAATAAATATTACACTATATCACATACATTGTTCAGATTCCAAGATGAGTGGTCTAAGCCCCCGTATTATGGAGTATCTGAGACAACGAAAGTAACACAACACCCAGACCCGACACAATATAGAAAAGTTCATTTTTTACATTGACCCGACCGGGGATCGACCTCGGAGATGGCGACACCTTGAAACCGGCGTGCGAACCACTCGGCTATGGAGGTCGTCATTAATAATTATAGGTACATATACTTATATTAATATTTTGCAGTATACCATTGTAAATGCGAAATTGATCAAATATAACAATAATTAAACATGTTTGGTAATTTGCTTCAATGGGCTTCTCTGAATCAGCTGGACAGTATGTGCGAGCGAGAGAGTGTAACCTGGTGAGTGGTCTCGGCCACCAGTCGAGTTGTTCCCGCGCGCGCTGCAGCTCCACGTCGAGCTGCAGCAGATGGCGCTGCAGCTGCAGCGTGCGGGCGCGCAGGGCGTCAGCTTCGGCGACGCTCTCGCTCACGCGCGCGCTCAGCGTCGAGCGCTCCGCCGCGCACTGCTCGTGCTGCCTGCACCGGGACACCGTTTCGAACGATTAGCAAACTGGCGCCCAACGTGGGGTCG